TAAATTGTCTTGAGATGACATGTGTTGTGAATTGACGCTATAGAAATAAACTGAATTGAATTGAATTGATGCTTTTACTGTACCTGTTTTAAAAGCAGAGGATATAATCTATGGAGCACATAGAGCAACTGTAAAAGGCTACTATGAAAGCAACCATGGCTTCCTTTGCACAGAACCTCTTTAGAACCACAGTCTGATCCGATCCAAGCCAGGCTGTAACAACTCACTGACTGCGTTTAGAAGGGAATTAGGGTATTTTGAATATGTTGGAGCTTGAAAATATTAGCACAGATTTTTTTCTGCAGTAAACACCAGCACTTTATAAACAGTGATCATTCATCAATGTCTGAATGTACTAGGATACTGCTTGACATTAAACTAGACAGAATGTATAGTCTGTGCGATGTAATGTGTGTCTTCAGGAAGTTCAACATAGGTGTGAGTCATTTTTAAACTCTGGTCCTGTTTCATACTCACCAGGGGAGCATGGCTGAAGCTGATGTAATTTACACTGATGTAAACTTCAGAGCTCCTCACACTGAGGGTGAGATTAACTCTTTCAGATCTTTTCACTTTTTTAGAGAGCTGCAGCAAACTGTACTTTGAAATGATGTTGTCCTCTGTGTGTGTTTATGCAGATCAGGCTGCTTTACCAGCTGAGTGTATTTATTCTAAACCGGTGATTTTGCAAAAGGGGTCAGGTACGTTACACTTCAACAACAACAAAACTATAAGCACTTCATTTTCAACCTCCATGGTGCCAAAACTCACAAAATTATTTTTATACATCTGCCAAAAGGATCCTTCTACTTTTTTGTAAATATGCATCTACAGAATCTACTTTTTTTTAAATATGAGTTATCTACATATGTCAAATATCCACTATGTTTAAAAGTTCAACATTAATGTAAAGCAGATACTGATCAGAGTAGAGACGAGAAAGAGTTCTGCTTCTGAGATAAACATAGACCTGACTTGACAGAATGGGTCTGAGTCATACACTGAGCGAGAAAAGTGACTTAGAGGAAGTAACTTACAAGAAAGACAGTTTTTTTTTGTATAGCACATTTCAGCAAGACGTTTACTTAAAGAGTTGTACATGAACATAACATAAGGAAAGAAAGCACAGAGAAAAGTACTTTGCAGTGGCATCATAAAAATCAGGTGATGTGGGGGGATCAGTTGAAGGACATTAGCAGGCTATTTTCCACTTCTTGAGTTTTAGTGAGGATGTGGGCAGCAGCATTCTGGAGCCATTGTAGGGTTCTGATCAACCTTTTTAGGCAGACCTGTGAAGATGATGCTGCACTAATTCATTCCACTAAAGAGAAACAAATGCATTGTTTTGAGGTGCTGCTGAGATATTAGTCCCTTAATCCTGGAATGGTCAGAGGTCATACAAGGCTGGAGTTGTTGCTGTCTTTTGTACCTTTGAAGGTTCTGGTCTAAATACATTACTACACCCCAGTTTGTGGGGGTTATGTTATTAACTGCAGATATATCCATCCATCCATTATCTGACAGGTGCGTATCTCCAGCTGTCAATGGGCAAGAGGCGGGGTACGCCCTGGACAGGTCACCAGTCCATCGCGGGGCAACACAGAGACAAACAGGACATACAACCATTCACGCACAGACTCACACCTAAGGAGAATTTAGAGAAGCCTATTAACCTAACAGTCATGTTTTTGGACTGTGGGAGAAAGCCGGAGTACCCAGAGATGCTCAAGGAGAACTTGCAAACTCCATGCAAAAAGTTTGCATGGTTTTGGGTCTTATTAGGGAGAGCTTCATACATTCACTTATTTTAGATCTCCATGCAGAAAGTTTGCATGTTGGCAGACCGGGAATCAAACCCATAACCTTCTTGCTGCAAGGCATCAGTGATATCCACTGCGACACTGAGCAGCCCAATGCAGACATAATGCAGTCTAAATGGTATAGGTGTCTAGGTAGTGGCTCATCTTTTTCTTCACTTAGGCCTTTATTTCTTTGAGGAAGCAAAAACTGGCTTCTTATTTAAGCTGCCAATTCAGAAGGGTCTTTTATTTATAGCAGGATGTATGCTGCCAAACTTTGTAGTAAACAGTCAAATG